GTGCAATGGTGCGATCTCAGCTCACTGCAACCTCCACCTCCCGGGTTCAAGCGATTCTCCAGCCTTAGCCTCTCTAGTAGCTGGGATTACAGGCACCTGCCACCATGACCAGCTAATTTTTGTATTTTTAGTAGAGATGGGTTTCACCATGTTGGCCAGCTGGTCTCAAACTCCTGACCTCAGGGGAGTCACCTGCCTCGGCCTCACAAAGTGCTGGGATTATAGGCGTGAGCCACCACACCTGGCCGGTGCTTCATTTTAACATGTGGATCATCACTCGTTCTTTGCCTTCAACCCAAGCTTCCTCTACCTGTTTCCCATAGTGCTCATGCCTTTTCATTCAGTCTCTCTTCCTAGCAATGGGTATCGTGTTAGTACAGACCATCTCATAGCTCCCCCGGGACTTTTTGTAAGAGAACTATAGCTTCCAGAAAAGTGGGCCTCTATACACCAGGCACTCTTCCAAGTCCTTTACAGACACTAATTCATGTAATTCTCACAGTATCCTTATGAGGTAGGTAAGATTATTTATTCCCATTTTACATATTAGGAAACTGAAGTGCAGAGATTAGATAATTTGCTCAAAGTTACACAGTTAATAAGTAGCAAAGCACTCTGGCTTCGAGTTAATGACACTAACTGCCTACCATTATAAGCTTAGATTCTCACCCTACCAAGATATGCAAGAAGAGAAAAAAGAAACAACAAAAAAAAAGCTTAGATTATTTATCATACTGTTTATCAAAATATTTCCTGGGTCATGATTAAAGACCTGATTATAAAGAAGTAAAACTTGCGGGGGGGTGTGTTGTGGCTCATGCCTGTAATCCCAGCACTTTGGGAGGCTGAGGCAGGGGGATCACTTGAGCCCAGGAGTTTGAGAGCAGCCTGGGCAAGATGTCACTTCTACAACAGTTTAAAACATTAGCTGGGTGTGGTGGCGCGCAACTGTAGTCCCAGATACTTGGCCGGGAGGATGTCTTGAGCCCAGGAGTTCAAAGCTGCAGTGAGCTATGTTTATGCCACTGCACTGCAGCCTGAGCAGCAGAGAAAGACCCTATCTATCTCAAAACAAACAAAATATATAAACATTAATATAAATCAAAAGAAAAAAGTCTACAGAATAGGAAAATGGGCATCGAAGGGTGAAAAAGGAACATTACAATGCCAAGAAAGATATAAAAAGATCCTTAAGTTCACTAGCAACCAAGGAAATGAAAGTTAAAATAATGATGATATACCATTTCTCACACATCAGATTGGCAGAAATCACTGGGATTGTCTTAATCCCAGATACTGGCAGGATTTGGAGAAATGGGGACCCCTCCCATGCTGCTGGTAAATGAGCCATTGGAGAGCAGCTGAGCAGTTTTTAGTGGGGCCCAACCCATGTGTGTCCATGTCACCACTGCAAATAGCTACATATACTCTCTTTTAGCTCATTGATAAAACAGGTTACACAACAGATGATATTGGTGGTGTTCACTGATGCTGTCGATAGAAGGGGCAGCCAAGCCAGGGGGTCCCCACTTGGACCCATGGAAGGGTGTCCAGTCTCTAGGACAGTTATCTCTCTGGGAATTTGTGTCTTTCTCTGTGGGATGATCTGTACCCACATGTCTGCGATCCACCATTTCAACATCTCTGGACCGCTTCCCGAAAGCACAGACCTCAGTCTCACCACAAGGGCTGGAATGAGCAGAAATAGCCTTGGGGCAGATTCAATGCCAATTTTAAACAGGGCGGAAGAAGAACATGTGTGAGGCTCACTGCCCCACTCTTCTCAGTGCTCTAATAGTGTCCAGAGATGTGTGGACATCGGCCCCCTGCTATGGCAAGAGGGAAGCCGTGGCCTTCTCTCTCTCTCTTTTTTTTTGAGGCGGAGTCTCACTCTGTTGCTCAGACTGGAGTGCAGTGGGGCAATCTCAGCTCACTGCAACCTCTGCCTCTAGGGTTCAAGCGATTCTCCTGCCTCAGCCTCTTGAGTAGCTGGGACTACAGGCATGTGCCACCATGCCCGGCTAATTTTTGTGCTTTAGTAAAGACTAGGTTTCATTATGTTGGGCAGACTGTTCTCGAACTCCTGATCTGTGATCCACCCGCCTCGGCCAGGCGTGAGCCACCACACTCAGCCACCATGGCCTTCTCTTACATCTCTCAGAGGCAGAGCCTCGTTTTGGGTCAGCAATGTAGTAGCTAAACTTGTTGTTACCCCTGGAAGGCCTTATTTCTTGTTCAAGTGTGCAATATGTAGCCTCAACAATGGCTTCATTCTTCTGGCTTCTCGGACTCATGGCAGCAAGATCATTTTAGCTGTGGAGGATTCAAGATGAGGTTCCTCTAAATCAGATACTGTAAAAAGACTGTAACATGGCTCTTTTCTTTCTTTTTTTTTTTTTTTTTTTTTTTGAGATGGAGTCTTGCTCTTGTTGCCGAGGCTGGAGTGAATGCCATGGTGCAATCTCAGCTCACTGCAACCCCCGCCTCCCGAGTTCAAGCGATTCTCCTGCCTCAGCCTCCCGAGTAGCTGGGATTACAGGCGCCTGTCACCATGCCCAGCTAATTTTTGTATTTTTAGTAGAGAGGGGGTTTCACCATGTTGGCGAGGCTAGTCTCTAACTCCCGACATTGTGATCTGCCCGGCTCAGCCTCCCAAAGTGCTGAGATTACAGGCGTGAGTCACCAGGCTTGGCCGGCTCTTTTCTTAATAGAGAAAATCTAATAACCATTTTTCTGGCCTAAATAAAGTCTCAAAGATTGAAGGCAGAATTTTGGGGGTCTCCACCAAATGCTTGCTTGTCTGCTAGTTGAGCAGATTCCAGAATCTCTTTTGAGAAGCGCTTGGTGCTGCCCACTGTGGTCCTATCCGGTGCAGGTGTGCTGCTCACCTGTGGTCCTATCCGGTGCAGGTGTGCTGCTCACCTGGGGCTGAGTACACATCAGGATTCCTACATTTCATTGCCCAGGGCCATCTTTTCTTTTTCTTTCTTTCCTTTTTTTTGAGATAGAGTCTCACTCTGTCGCCCAGGCTGGAGTGCAGTGGTGTGATATTGGCTCACTGCAACCTCTGCCTTCTGGGTTCAAGCGATTCTTCTGTCTCAGCCTCCAGAGTAGCTGGGACTACTGGCTCATGCCACCATGCCTGCTAAATTTTGTATTTTTAGTAGAGACGGGGTGTCACCATATTGGCTTGGTCTCAAACTCCTGACCTCGTGATCCACCTGCCTCGGCCTCCCAAAGTGCTAGGATTACTGACCTAAGCCACCGTGCCCAGCACATCTTTTTTTAAATGCACAGCTGGGTTGCACTTGGCAATATCCTCAGAGTTTCTTTTTTGATCGGTTGCTATCTCATACCTGCAAAAAATGTGGTTTGGCCATTTAGTGTTTGAAAGAGATCATCCAAGGAAGCCATTGCACTATGTGTCTCTGAGTTCTGTTGCTTTATTCAGTTAGGTGATCAGAGAGCAAGGCTCTTGGACAGCATCAGCTCGCTTCCCCGTAGAAACGCCTTCCCTCGAGTTGAGATATGAGGTTATATACTCTCAGCTTTTGCTTGTGGTGAAGAATGGGCATTTGAAGACCAACACGGCCTCTCCTACAGAACTTGAGCTGAAGATATTGACGGATTTGTTACTCGACGTAAGGATTTAGATCTCTCCTAAAATTTAACATCAGGAATGTGTTTATTTCTCCCGGAAACTCTGCATCCTTTTTTATGGTTTTGGAGCTTGGAGACAACGTGTGGTTGTGCAAAGCATGTTTCTGAGCCTGAAGGCCCTGGGTTTCCATCTTCACTCAACCACTTAATGAGTGAACATGGGCAAGTTGGTTACCCTTTCTCAATCCCAGTGACCTCGTCTGGAAATGGAAATAATTATTTAAATGCCATCAAGCTATTGTGGGGATTAGGACACTTTGATGTAAAGTACCATATATATCATTGGTGCTAAACAAATGGGAGTTATTGGCCAAGTGCAGTGGCTCACACCTGTAATCCCAGCACTTTGGGAAGCTGAGGTGGGCAGATCACAAGGTCAGGAGTTTGAGACAAGCCTGGCCAACATAGTGAAACCCTGTCTTTACTAAAAATACAAAAATTAGGCCAGGCATGGTGGCATGTGCCTGTAGTCCCAGCTACTCAGGAGGCTGAGGCAGGAGAATCGCTCGAACCTGGGAGGAGGAGGTTGTGCTGAGCTGAGATCGCACCATTGGACTCCAGCTTGGACAACAGAGTGAGACTCCGTCTGAAAAAACAAACAAACAAAAAAACAAAAAATTAGCCAGATGTGGTGGCATGCACCTGTAATCCCAGCTACTTGGGAGCCTGGGGCACAAGAATCACTTGAACTCGGGGAGGCAGAGGTTGCAGTGAGCTGAGATTGCGTGCCACTGCACTCCAGCCTGGGTGACAGAGTGAGACTCTGTCACAAACAAACAGACGAAACCAAATGGGAGTTGTTACTAGAAAATCCACTGTACCAGAAAATTTCAAAGCTAGAATTAGTGTTCCAATCAATGCAGTGGCTACTGTAACCCAGCTTTCTGGTATGATGTTCTTTTCTTCTTCTAAAGATTTCTGATTGAACTTAAAAAAATAGTTTTATTTATTTGTTTTTCAGATAGGATCTCACTCTGTCCCCCGAGGTGGAGAGCAGTGGTGCAATCACAGCTCACTGCAGCCTTGGCCTCCTGGGCTCAAGCAATCCACCTCAGCCCCCTGAGTGGCTGGGACCACAGGTGTGTGCCACCATGCCTGGCTAATATTTGTATTTTCTGTAGAGATGGGGTTTGGCCATGTTGCCCAGGTTGGTCTCGAACTCCTGGGCTCAAGCAGTCCTTCTGCCTCAGCTTCCCCGAGTGCTGGGATTACAGGAGTGAGACACTGCACCTGGCCTTATTTTTTAATTATTCTACTCTCTATGTGTTTTAATAATCTATACTGCTTGCCATTTGTTGGGGGAGACAGGAGGCAAATCAATAAATAGAGCTACACATTCCAGTTACCTTGTGCCATTCTTACCTCCCAGCACAAACACCTGGCTGACTGTGTGTCCTTGAGTAAGTCACTGCCAGAGACATGGTGGTTTGTTGGGAGGTGAGCTAGTGTGTGGTTTGATTGTGTTCTTTCCTTCTGACCCCTGAAGGGCATCACCAAATTTAGGAAATAGTCTCAGAGTTCTGGATCTGTTGCTACCTGGTGAGGCTGGAGGCCAGGCAGCCTGCAGGATGCTGTGGTCAGGTGGGATCAGACTTCTCTGCCAAGTGGGAGAGAAGCCACCACCCGCTCTATGCAGGGCAGTAGCCACAGGGCCAGGTTATCTCTGACACAGGCAAATGCCTTGGTTAGAAGCACTTCATGACTTGCTTGGAATTCCCTCTTGGTGAAGGCAGGGACGAGTCCTCCCTGCGCCATGTCCCCTGTGCGCCCGTATCTCCGTAGCCATCTCTGCTCTCTCCCTTGCCCTGACACTCTTTCCTCCTGCAGGCTATGTTTGTGTCTAGCTGTGAGTACTGACTTTCCCCAGGAGCAGCTAGGATCAGATGATCTTCCCAGCTGGAGGCAAGAGAACTTCTGTTCCAAGGGTTCTCCCCGTGGCCTCTGAATGCTGTTCTTCTCATGGAGCCTCTCCTGGCTTTCTGTGCAGCCAACCCCAGCAGCCGCCCTCACAGAGACTGGCTGCCCTCACAGAGGGTTTGTTTTGCATGTGGTGGCTGAACTTTGATTCTGTGACTCATCCTGCAGTGCAAACTTCAAGTCTCCCCGCCCTCCCATTTAATTGCTTTCTTCCTTTCCTTTAAAAAAAAAAACAAAAAACCCAAAGCATAACTACCTTTGCAGCTGAACATGACTGCGGCGTGCAGGAAGTGGAGCGTTGGCATGAAGTGGCTCCTAGTGGCTGTGCGGCATATGCCGGCTGCCCTCCTCTGACTGCAGTGGCACCTGGGGTCCTGGCCTCACTGGCAGGAGAACATTGGTATGAAGGCTGCTGGCGACTGTGAAGACCGGAGGGATACACCCTGCTGGTGAGTGCATGTTCCCTGGCCATCAGTGTGGCCCATACCACGCAGACTTGAGTCCAGAGGTGGAGGACAGAGACTGGAATCCTGGGGCAGGGGCGGGAGGAGGGCCAGAAGAGAGCAGTCCTCGGAGAGTGTGACCTGAGCAATCTGATTTCTCACACTCTAAATTATTTTAAGTGCTAAATAAGAAAATAAGACAACCCTCTTTAATTTCCTTGAGGTGAAATCATTGCTCATTTTAGCAAAATTGGGCTTAATTTCCAGATGGTTTTTTGGGGGGAAAGATTAAACAGGGGAAGCTCTTCGGTTTCTGTAAAAGCTCCTGCTTTACCTTTGAAGCTATTTACACGTTAGGAAATCAGAAAAAGTAGCAGTCCCTGGCACACTTGAGCCCCGCCAGCATACTCATGAGAGCATCTTCTAGACTGGTTATCCTCTAAGGGAAGCCTAGTTTCCTGGCTGACTGCAGTCAGGAACTTCGGCAGCATCTCTTATAGAGGATACCTCTGTGGGCTTCATGAAGGCTAATGAGGAGACTGAACTAAGTCTTACTCTGACTGTGGTGAAGATTCCCTGCAGCATAAGAAACCTCAGCGGTGGCTCCCAAGATTATGAGCTTCTCTCCAAAGCCAGGTGATGCCCACCGTGGGGTGCCCATCCCTGACGCATGAACAGGCTGGGGTGTGGACTACAGTAGCGCCGCTCCAGGATGTGGGTCAGGGCTTAAATGCTTGTGTGTCCACCTTAGAGATACCATCGCAGTGCAGAAGAGCAGGGGATGAGTTTGAGAAAGCAAAAGGCCAGGCCGGCACACCTATGTTCAGAGCAACATCATTCGCAGAGGCCCGGAGGCAGAGACAACCCAAGTGTCCATGGGTGAACGGATAAACACGATGTGGTGTATACACACCAAGGAATGTTATTCAGCCTTACAAATGAGAGAAATTGGCTGGGAGCGGAGGCTCATGACTGTAATCTCAGCACTTTAAGGGACCAGGAGTTTGAGATCAGCACCTTGAGGTCAGGAGTGTGAGACCAGCCTGGGCAACTTAGTGAGACCCCCATCTCTACAAAAAATTAAAAAAATCAGCCAGGCATGGTGGTGTGTGCCCATAGTTCCAGCTACTCAGGAGGTTGAAGTAGGAGGCTTCCTTGAGCTCCAGAGTTTGTATGGAAGATGTAGGCCTGGCGCCAGTGGCTCACGCCTGTAATCCCAGCAGTTTGGGAGGCCGGGCAATGTAGGCCTGGCGCCAGTGGCTCACACCTGTAATCACAGCAGTTTGGGAGGCCGAGGTGGGTGGATCCCTGATCCACCTTAGGGTGATCACCTGAGGTTGGGAGTTCAAGACCAGCCTGACAAACATGGAGAAACCCCATCTCTACTAAAAATACAAAAAACTAGCCGGGCATGGTGGTGCATACCTGTAATCCCAGCTACTCCAGAGGCCGAGGCAGGAGAATTGCCTGAACCCGGGAGGCAGAGGTTGCGGTGAGCCAAGATGGCGCCATTGCACTCCAGCCTGGGCAACAAGAGCCAAACTCCATCTCAGAAAACAACAACAAAATGAAGATACAAGGTAGAGCAAAATAAGCCGGTGACAAAAGGATAAATACTATACGGTTCCGATCCTAAGAGCTGCCTAGAATCATTTATTTATTGAGACAGAAAGTACCGTGAGTGCTGGGGGCTGGGGACGGGCAATGGGAAGTTACTGTTTAATGAGCAGTTTCAGTTCTGTAGGCTGACGAGATCCGGAGCTGAGTGGTGGCGTTGGCTGCACAGCAGTGTGAATGTGCTCTGTGCTGCCAGCCTACAATGGTAAATTTTATGTTGTGTATAATTCACCACAATTTAAGGAAAAATTTTAAAAAACACACGTTCCCTTAAAAAGAAAAAAGAAGGCCACAAGAAACACTTGCCCCATGAACTGCAGTCTTTGCCTCTTTGTGACTTCCTCAAAATCCAACTGAACTGACAGCTCCACTGTGGGCCTCTAGCTCTGAGCTCAACCAGAAACTGTCTGCTTGGCCTCTATGGAGAAGCTCAGGGCAGGACAGCTTCCTCCTCACCTGGTGGCCAAGTTTGGGAGGCCGGATTTTGTGGATTTCTGTGGAGCTGGCAGAGGTGACCTGGGAACAGATGTGGGGGGCGGGGGCGAGGTGTTGAGTGTACTGGTCTTGGGGCTGGGGCGGGTGTCTCTGCTCCGTGCTGCCTCATGGTGGCCAGTGGCCTTCGGATGGCACCTGAGCAGCCCTAGGCAGTGCCCTCTGGTCTCGGCAAATCACCATCTTTGGGAGTCTGGTCTCCCCTATTTACAGTGGAGGCCTGGGTATGTCACCAAAGCCTCTGTTTGCCTCAGTTTCCTCCTCTGCACTTGGAGTAATGAGGTGGCTTCCAGGACACGGGGTTTCCACCGTTGTGATAATATACAAGGAAGCGCCCATGGGGGCTGCCGCTGCCCCCCATGCCCCCGCCCGACTTCTTTCCTCTTTCTCTTTTTCTCTTTTCCTCAGTGCTCTTCCAGTCAGAGGCTGCAGACTAGAACCTGGGCCCCTCCCCTGGATTGGCTGATTCTAGAATGGACAGATCTGATCTGTTCCAGCCATGTCCCCCCCACTTCCAGGCCACCCCGAACCCACCCCCAGGAGCCTACTCTGACCACAGGAAGCTGCTCCTGTGACCTCCCAAGGCCTCGAGGGGCCACGTGGAAGATTCTCTAAGCGTTGCCGCTAATCATCCGGACTGCGTGTGACTTCCAGTCAGGATGGAGGAAGAAAACGGAAATGAAGTCGTTCAGACTTTCCGGTCTTAAAAATAGGAAGGAAGGAACGGGACGCGGCTGGCAGAGCTGCAGCTCAGAGACCTTCGTGTCCCTGGGGAGGCTGCGGCCCCAGGGCCCCGGGGGACTCCTAAGAGCAGCGCCCTACCTCTGCCACTGTTTCTTTCGTATTTAGAAGCGTTAAAAAGGAACCAAGTTGATGTTAAAGTCTCAGGGGAAAAAGCCCCTGAAGTAGGCGCGTTCTTTCCATCGGCTGGTGCGAAAACAGCTCTCCTGGCCACGCTTACCCCTCTCAGTCTCCTCAGAAAATGGGCTGTGGGCTGCGACCCGAGGGTCCCTAGGGGAGCTGTCCCCCACTGCGGCCCCCAGCGGTCTCCCCTCACCCTCCAGGTGAAACCCCCGGTGTTTCTGTTACCCCGAACCCAAGTTACAAAAGAAAGTCGCCCTTTCCTCAGAGCCGCTCCTTGGTGACCGAAGAGGAGTCACCTGACCTAGCCACTTTTTGATTTCTCCCACGTCTGCGCCAACAAGATGCTGCCTGTGTTCTGAACACAGCTTAAAACGACATATTGTTTTCGTCTCCGCCGTTTACTAGCCACGCAGCCGTTACTTTCCGAGCCTCTGTTTCCTCACCGGCAGGAAGGGAACAGTCGTATCTGTCCCATCTTCCCACCAGGGGTAACGCGAAGGGCATGGATACAAAGGCTGAGCCACAGGAAGTAATCCAGCACTTTGGGTGGCTGAGGTGGGTGGATCATTTGAGGTCAGGAGTTCGAGACCAGCTTGACTTACTTAGTGAAACCCCGTCTCTACTAAAATACAAAAATTAGTAGGACGTGGTGGTGCATGCCTGTAATCCCAGCTACTCAGGAGGCTGAGGAAGGAGAATCGCTTGAACGCTGGAGGCAGAGGTTGCGGTGAGCTGAGATTGTGCCTTGTGCCACTGCACCCTAGCCTGGGTGACAGAGCAAGACTCCCTCTCACACACACACACACACACACACACACACACACACACACACACAAAAAGGCTGAGCCACAGGAAGGTGAACTTTTTGTTCCTGTCGCTTGTTCCTTTCTCTCTCTTAGTTCTCACCCTCTTTTCTTTCTCCTATATCTCCTCCCTCTTCCCTTCTCTCTTTTTCTTCCAAATTAAAACAAATGCCACAGCGCCTGCATGGGGAGGGGTGGAGGTGGAAGGGGCTGTCAGGGTTGGGAAGGCTTCTGTGTGTGACAGAAGCTTCTGGGGTGTGACAGGAAGGTTCGCCAGTGGGGCAGATGTTCTGGGCGAGGGAAGAGCCTGCTTGGAGGCCTTTTGGGCTCAGTGAGTGATCCCGGTGTGAGGCTGGCCTGACAGGCTGGGTGAGTGTCCTTCTCCTCTATGGAGTCTGGGCTGCTGGTGGACCTCAGCTGAGGGGACCACTGTCCTGAGAGAGAATGACTGGTTGCCAGTCAGGGAGGAGGTGACCAAGAGCCTGGAGGGTGGGTTGGCCCCCACTGTGATGATAGTGTGGAGTGCAACAGGGCCCTTCTTCCCCCGGAAGAGCCAGCCTCTCTTCACTGTGCAGTTCACTTCTCTCCAACAGTTCTTTGGCCTTCCCCTGCCCCTCAAGGGAAGATAAGACGTTCCTTACCTTTTATTTATTTATTTCTTTTGAGACGGATTTCTTGTTGCCCAGGTGGGAGTGCAATAGTGCGATCTTGGGTCACTGCAACCTCCGCCTCCCAGGTTCAATTGATTCTCCTGCTTCAGCCTCCTGAGTAGCTGGGATTACAAGCATGTGCCACTATGTATGGCTAATTTTGTATTTTTAGCAGAGATGAGGTTTCTCCATGTTGTTTAGGCTGGTCTCGAACTCCTGACCTTATCCTTACCTGTATTTTGATGGAACATTTTTCTTTCTTTCTTATCTTATTTTTTTGAGACAGGGTCTTGCTCTGCTGCCCAGGCTGGAGTGCAGAGGCACAATCATGGCTCACCGTAGCCTTCAACTCCCAGGCTCGATCAATCCTCCCACTTCAGCCTCCTGAGTAGCTGAGGCGATAGGTGTGAGCCAACACGCCCAGCTAATTTTTTTTTTTTTTGTAGAGTAGGGGTTTTGCCATGTTGCCCAGGTTGGTCTTGAACTCCTGGGCTCAAGTGATTCACTCACCTAGGCCAGCCTCCCAAAGTGCTGGGATTGTAGTCATGAGCTGCTGTGCCCGGGCTCCAATTTTTATTTTAGGTTCAAGGGCACGTGTGCATGTTTGTTACATGGGTAAATTACATGTGGTGGGAGTTGGGTGTACAGATTATTTTCTTACCCAGTTAATGAGCTTAGTACCTGATAGGTGGTTTTTCAGTGCTCGCCCTCCTCCTGCCCTCCATCCTCAAGTGGGGTCTGGTATCTATGTTCTCTTCTTTGTGCTCAGGTGTACTCAGAGTTTCACTCCCACTTATATATAGTTGAGAACATGTTCTATTTGGTTTTCTGTTCCTGTGTTAATTCACTTAGGTTAATGACCTTCAGCTCCAACCATGCTGCTGCAAAGGACATGATTTTATTCTTTTTTATGTCTGCATAGTATTCTATGATATCTATGTACCACGTTGAAAGCACATTTTTCTAATTAAAAGTATGTGTTTATCTTCATGATTTATGGCTCATTGTTTACATTTTTTGTCTGTTTTCTTGAATTGATTGTGAATGAGTTGACATTGGGTTGTCTTATTTTGTTTTCATAGAGCTGGGATGCAGCACAGTGCTGGTGTTGAGTCGGTGAGTGGCAAATGTTTGCTACACAAAGGAGTGAATGAACTGGGGTGGTGTGCGTGTAAATGGTGTGAGTGTAAATGGTGTGTGTGTAAGTGGTGAGTGTAAATGTGTGAGTGTAAATGTGCGAGTGTAAATGGTGTGCGTGTAAATGTGTGAGTATAAATGGTGTGAGTGTAAATGGTGTGTGTGTAAATGTGTGAGTGTAAATGGTGTGCGTGTAAATGTGTGAGTATAAATGGTGTGAGTGTAAATGGTGTGTGTGTAAATGTGTGAGTGTAAATGGTGTGCGTGTAAATGTGTGAGTATAAATGGTGTGAGTGTAAATGGTGTGAGTGTAAATGGTGTGAGTGTAAATGGCATGAGTGTAAATGTGTGAGTGTAAATGGTATGCGTGTAAATGTGTGAGTGTAAATGGTGTGCGTGTAAATGTATGAGTATAAATGGTGTGAGTGTAAATGGTGTGCGTGTAAATGGTGTGAGTGTAAATGGCGTGAGTGTAAATGGTGTGCGTGTAAATGGTGAGTGTAAATGGTGTGAGTGTAAATGGTGTGTGTAAATGGTGTGTGTAAATGGTGTTAATGTAAATGGCGTGTGTAAATGTGTGCGTGTAAATGTGTGAGTGTAAATGGGGTGCATGTAAATGGTGTGAGTGTAAATGGGGTGCGTGTAAATGGTGTGTGTTTAAATGGTGTGCATGTAAATGGTGTGAGTGTAAATGGTGTGCGTGTAAATGGTGTGTGTAAATGTGTGCGTGTAAATGGTGTGTGTGAAAATGGTGTGAGTGTAAATGGTGTGAGTGTAAGGGGGAGGAACCAGGGTGTGAGTGTAAGAAGCAGGGTGATTATGGAAAATGTCCGGGAAGCAGTATTATTGGCCGATGGGATGTAGAGGTGAGGAGAAGAGAGGAGTGAAAGGGGACTTTTGAGATTTCTTCTTTGGGCCTCTGGGGGATGCCATTCAGTAAGATTGGAAGTCCAAGGAAAAAAATATTTGAGGAAAGAAGATAAATTTAGCTTTGGACATTTATTTTTAGAAATCTATTAGGGTGTGGTGGCACACACCTGTGGTCCTGGCTACGTAGTAGGCTAAGGTAGGAGGATCACTTGAGCCCAGGAGTTCAAGTTCAGGTTGGGCAACATAGTGAGACCCCCGTCTCTAAAAAAAAAAAGTCCATTGAACTCCTCAGATATACTAGGCATCATGCTGGTGCTGGTGATTCTGAGGCAATAGGTCAGGATGCCTGAGTAATTCAGTCTCTTGAGAAATAGATGAATTCTCTGTGAAATCTCAAAAGTTTTTGAAATCTCAAAAGTCTCAAAATTCACTGTGTCATAAGACAGGTGTGAGCAAAGTGCTGCAGTAGATGAGATGGCCGAACTGCTCATTCCGTCTGTAGGCTCAGGGATGACTGCTCTCAATAACATCGAGCTGAATCTTGATGTTTGCAAGACAAAAAGAGCCTTCCAGGTAGAGAGGAAAACCTATTGAGAAACACGGTGCTGAGAACATTCTGTTTTTTTGTGTGTTTGGTTTTTGTTTTTTAAGACAGAGTCTCGCTGTCACCCAGCCTGGAGTGCAGTGGCATGATTTAAGCTCACTGCAACCTCCACCGCCTGGGTTCAAAAAATTCTCCTGCCTCAGCCTCCTGAGTAGCTGGGATTACAGGTGCGTGCCACCTCACCTGGCTAATTTTTTTTTTTTGTAATTTTTAGTAGAGACGAGATTTCACCATCTTGGCCAGGCTGGTCTTGAACTCTTGACCTTGTGATCCACCCACCTCGACCTCCCAAAGTGCTGGGATTACAGGTGTGAGCCACCACACCCAGCCTGTTTGTTTCTTTTTTAAGTTGAGTTTTATTTTTTAAGAGGCGGGAGCTTGCTCTGTCACCCAGGCTGGGGTGCAGTGGTGTGATCACAGCTCACTGCAGCCTCGACCTCCTAGGGTCAAGTAATCCTCCTGTCTCAGCCTCCTAAGTAACTGGGACTTCAGGCACACATCACCAAGCCCAGATAACTTTTTAAATTTTTTATAAAGATGGTGTCTCACTATGTTGTCCGGGCTATTTTTGAACTCCTGGCCTCAGGCAATCCTCCTACCTCGGTTTCCCAAAGTGCAAGGATTACAGGCAGGAGCCAGCATGCTTGGTGTGAGAACATTCTGGATTGCCTGCGCCGCAAGGCTCTAGAGAAGGGGTCAGGTGGGCTGGGATGGGCAGTGAGGTAGGCAGCATCAGGGCTACTTTGTGACAAGCTCAGCAGCCTGCCTAGGAATTTGGTGTCTTTCTTGTAGTCAATGAGGAGATTTCTAAGCAGGTGGCTAACATGATCAGACTCATTTTAGAAATACAGTGGTGGCTACAAGCTAGATGGAGGGTGCTGCAGTCCTGGGGTGTGGGATGAAGACGGCAGGACTGAGGCGTGTGTGGGGCAGGGGACAGTAGGAGGTAGACTTGAGAGGGCCAGGCTGAGGGAGTAAAGAACTGGACGTTCTGTACTGGCGCCCTGGGAGAAGGAGGGCATGTCTATAGGTCACCTGCATGGAGTCAGCTACGTGGAAATATCTGTTGGAACAGCTCTAGATTTAAGAAGAAACTTTAGTTTCAGAAACCCTTTATACTCTTAAAAATTATTAAGGGTCCCAAAGAGCCTTTATTTATGTGGATTCTATCTGTCGCTGGATATATACTTTATTAGAAATAAAAAAATAAGAACTTGAAAAAAGTCGTTTATTTTTACATAATAATAAACCAATTACACTGACCTAATGACATATCTTCATGAAAAATAACTTTATTTTCCAAAACAAAAAAAATTAGTAAGAAGCGCGGCGCTGATTCATATTTCTGTAAATCTGTTTAATGTTTGGGTTAATAGAAGACAGCTGGATTCTCATACCTGCTTCTGCATTCAAACTGTTGCAGTATCGCACGACATGTAGTCTGTGGAATATTCTGTTGTACACTTAGGAGAGGATAGGAGTTAAGCACACAAATTGCGTCTTGGGATTTTTATAAAAATAGGTTTTTTTTTTGTTTTTTTGTTTTTGTTTTTGAGACGGAGTCTTGCTGTATTGCCCAGGCTGGAGTGCAGTGGTGTGATCTCGGCTCACTGCAACCTCCACCTTCCGGGTTCAAGTGATTCTCCTGCCTCAGCCTCCTGAATAGCTGGGACTACAGGTGCCTGCCACCATGCCTGGATAATTTTTGTGTTTTTAGTAGAGATGGGGTTTTACTATGTTGCCCAGGCTGGTCTCTAACTCCTGATCTCGTGATCTGCCCGCCTCGGCCTTCCAAAGTGCTGGGATTACAGGTGTGAGCCACTGCGCCCAGCCTCAAACTAGTTTTTACTTTGAAGATGCCCTGGAAAAATCTTGGAGTCCCTCAAGCTTCCCTAAATCACACTTTGGGAACCACTGAAGTAGTCACTTAGCAAGTGTCTGTTGAATGACAGCATTCTGAGTTCCCACAGCACTTAATTTAAATAGCATGCATGACGTTTATCTCCCAGACTTACAACTGAGCCTGGTGCTCGTGGGGGGTGTGAGCCAGACAGGCAGCTGTGGGGCCCATCAGAATATAGGGGCTGGTGAGAGCCTGGGCGGCACCCCAACACTGAAGGAGAGGGGAAGAGCTGGACCAACGTAGGAGGAGAATCAGGCCAAGTTATACAGCCTAAGGGAGCAGATAGTTTCAAGAAAGGGCAGTCTATACTTTTTTTTATTTAAAATAACAAGTCAAGGTGTGGTTCCCAGTTTCAAAAGCGGCGGAGAGTTTGCATAAGGCGAGGACTGTGAAAATGCTGTTGAATTTGGCAGTAAGAAGGGGCCAGTGCCCCTGGGGTCAGTTTCATTGTTTCAGGTGGCGCCTGGCCTGTCCAGAGTGCTGGGTGCATGCTCAGCCCCAGTGTGTGGTCGGGGTTCCCTGCCAGGCAGTGTGAGGTAAAGGCCTCAGACAGCGTACTGTGAAAGCAGCATGATCGCCTCTGCAGCTCCGCAACCACACTGAGCAGCTGAAAATCCCCAAGCAGACTGGGATCCACCCGATTCCTGACAGCAGGGCCAGGAGGGAGCCAGCACAGGCATCCCTTGCCCTTGCCCCAGTCTGCCCAGAAAACACCTGATGGATGCCTTTTTTCTCTTTAGCTCATGCCTGCAGGGCTCTGAGAGGAGGAAGCTTGGGGCAGGACCCGCGCCAGTGGCCCCTGGGCACAGCATGGAGCACCCCAGCAAGATGGAGTTCTTCCAGAAGCTGGGCTACGACCGGGAGGACGTGCTCCGGGTGCTGGGCAAGCTGGGCGAGGGCGCCCTGGTCAACGACGTGCTGCAGGAGCTTATCCGCATGGGCAGCCGCCCGGGGTCCCTGGAGCACCCGGCTGCACCTAGGCTAGTGCCTCGGGGCTCCTGTGGGGTCCCGGATTCAGCCCAGCAGGGCCCGGGAACAGCCCTGGAAGAGGACATCGGAGGCCCGGCTAGTTCCCTGCGACCCATAGTGATTGATGGCAGCAACGTGGCAATGAGGTAGCTTCCCTTCGTCCTGTAGTTGAGGCTGGGGAGGCCTCTATTACAAGAGCCCTGAGTACTGTCCCTCTTCTCTGTGGTTTGATCCCAAGAGCTTTGGGGACAATGGATCAGGCTTTGAATCCCTGTGCCAACTCATAGTAGCTGTGTGGCATTAAGCAAGTCACTTAACTTCTCTGGGCCTCATTTTCTCCATCCATACGATGGGGATGAAACCTCCATAGAGGGTTTTTATACACAAAATGCCTAGGACACGCCTGACACAGAGTAAGTTTCAACAAGCATAGTTGTTAATGATCATAACCCAGAGGAAGAGCCTTCTTTTGGGGAAGGTGTGGTAATGAGGTAGGCGCCCTGGGTCAGGTGTTGACAGATGTGGTTTTTGTTGGGAGTCTGTCCCTAACCAGCTGCGTGACTCTGGGAAAGCTGCAGCACTCATTTCCTCTTCTGTGAAAGAGGCCCACAGATACCTCTTCTACTCCGTCGACATTCGGAGCATCACGTGGGCAGGTGTGCTTGCAGGGCGCTGGAAGCCCTCTGCTGGGGTTGCTGGGGAGGCGCTGTTGCGGTTCCCTTGGTAAGTTTGAGAGATTTGTTTGTGGCGTCCTGAGCTGCAGATGCGGCTGTGTGAACATTCGTGTGTTGGCATTTTTGTGGGCTTTGGGAGTGCCAGCCTCATGCCCAAGTTGTTATCTGCCTGTCTTGGCTGAGCTCCTCTGTGACGGAATCTCTGTAGCCTCCACCAACACCCTGCTGGGTGAAGTGGGGCATTACCCAAACAGGTGGGTTATTCTACCACTTGGCTTTGTTACAGCCCCGCAAAGGGCGGAGCCATAGGAAATGCTTCACTCACAGCTGTGAATATATGTGCTTCCCTTTTCAAAAGCTGAGTTACCTGCCGTCGGTGGGAATCCAGAAAAGCCATTCTCTGCAGCGCCAAATGTGTCGACAGAGCATCTGAGTTTCCCTTTTGGATTTGGTGCTGCAGGACCTAGGTTTGCAATGGTTCAACCCAGATGGTCCAGCCTCCGGGGTTGTCCCTGCACTTTTTATGGTGTGTACTGTGAGTTTTCTGTTTTTCTTTTCCAACTTTTCATCAGTAAGTCTCCCTGGCCTTGATGACATCAGCAGGCGATGGAGCCCTCTCTTCCTCCTGGGATTTAGGGACTGGCCCATGGGGTCTCTGTCACATTCTCACCCATGTCATGTATAGGCACCAGATAGGTAAACCTATGAAATCCTGCTCAATTTAAGATCTCTGGGAAGCTATGAAGATTTTTAAGACTCCAGTAGGTTCTGAGGGTCCTAGAAAGTCTAGGAGGGGTTGTGTGAGCGTCCTGGCCTCTGTATGATCTGAGTGAGAAACCTCTCTCTCTAGGCATCCATAGAAAGAAGGCTTTAAATGCTTAAATCTAAGACCTTCCCAGCCTTAAGGCTGTATGAGTTCTGTGATTCCAAATCAAACAGCAGAGTGGCTGTAGAGTAAAAAGACTATTTCAGGGGCTACAAGAAACATGTATGTTTTAGAAATTGCATGTTTTAGAAACTTGCATGTTTTAGAAATTGTTATAGTAAGATAGCGGTTCAGGGTTTTGTTCTTATGGGAGTCTCGGTTGCTGCTTGGAGTCAAACTGAAGCCACATCTTCTGTTTGCACATGACCATAATGTGTCCTGGGCACATCCTTTAATCCCCCCACCTCTGTCCCCCACCTCCCACGATGACAATCAGTTTAATTTTCTCATGCTCAATCTGTGCCGGTTACACATTGAAATCCTTACTCAGACTTACTACGAAGAATGTGTCAGAGCGTAAATATTCTCATACACTGGCTACCTCTGAAACACCCGAGTCAACCAGCACACATGTACCTATGCTCTGTATGTGTGCACATATGGACACACACACACAATGCGTCTACACACACACAAACATCCCCTTCCCCTGCCTCTGGATCCCAGTGGTCAGGAAAAAGAGACAAATTGTACAGCCACCACCCCATCATGGGACTTAATTTGTTCCTTTTAAAGGCAAGTTCTGGGGACAGTGGGGTGTGAGGTTCCACCCTCTCCTCTACCCCTTCCACAATGACATCTATTGAGTTCGTCCAATGGGAGTTTCAACAGAACTCATGTCCCTCAAGGTCTGCCATATCCTCAGTCATGAAAGGTTTAAGCGGATGCTCACCCTTCACAGGCAGTGGATGACTGAAACCCAAAGGGGTGTCTCGTTGTTATCCGTTGACCTCAAAATTCGATTAACCTCAGAAACACGGTTTCTGAAAATTCCCTTTCACTGAGGTTTTGTAGTATTGCAGACATTGCCATTTTCTGTTTTTGAAGGCAATACTGCTTCATGCACTGTCTGGCCTTGCAGTGATGGGGAGGGGCTAAAAGACTGAGTGGGACACCTGTTCTTTTCACCTTGAGTGGATGACAAGTGTGGCTTCTGTTGACGGGAGTGTTCTTCAGTGTGCCTGCTCCTGGCTCTGGCTCTGTCCCCTGGAAGTGTCCTTCTGGAAGTCCTAGAGGATGTCGTTTTTTATTTTCTCCAGTTTCTAGAGACTTCGTTCCTCAGCTCATGATCCCTTCTATCTTCAAAGCCAGCAATGGCCTGAAATGATATGCACAACCTGACATGTCTGCGTACATATATGTTTCTCTAGGGGAAGATTCATAGCTTTCAGTAGCTACTTAAAGGACCTGTAATCCCCTAAATATTAGAAACCACTGACATAGAATGAGAAATTACAGGTAATACTATGCTTTATTAAAGGCCAGGGATTTCTTTTCCCTCTGCCTTTTGGGAGGCACTAGGCCCTGTAAGCACAGAGAATGTTAGAGCAGGCCATCAGTCCTTGTATCTGATCCTCTCCGTTACACAGGAGGAGACTTGACAGGCTTGACTATGGTCAATACTGGCTTGAATCAGACCCTGACACCCACCTGTGTGCTTCCTGGCCATGCCACAATTGGTAGAAGTTTCTGTGGGCTTCTTTCCTCCGCGCTTCAGAATGTTTAGCCCAAGGCCATTGGTCATGCTTGGCTGAGTCCAGAAGGCCTGGCTGCTGCTCTCTGGAGGTTGACAGAGTGGGCCACTGGCCTGCTTTTTACAGAAATGGGTACTTTTAAGTGGGACTACTGGCATCATTCATTATCTGTTTTTTTCTCATTTTTTGTTTTTTTGAGATGGAGTCTCACTCTGTTGACCAGCCTGGAGTGCAGTGGTGCGATCTCAGCTCACTTCAACCTCCGCCTCCTGGGTTCAAGCGATTTTCCTGCCTCAGCCTCCCGAGTAGCTGGGACTATAGGCGTGTGCCACCACGTCCAGCTAATTTTTTGTATTTTTTAGCAGAGACGGGGTTTCATCGTGTTAGCCAGATGGTCTCCATCTCCTGACCTTGTGATCTGCCCACCTCAGCCTCCCAAAGTGCTGGGATTACAGGCGTGAGCCACCGCGCCTGGCCCCCAGCAACTTTTTAAAAAGAAGGCAGCTTTCATTGAAAGCATGTTCAAAATGGCATCATGGTGTGTGGGAAGAGCATGAATTCTCACCAGCAAGCAGTTGCAGCAGTTACTTGCCCAGGGCAGGCAGACTCGCAAGTGTCTGACCTGTTTTACATTCCATAGGCAAATCTAGAAAAGGCAGGATTTGAAATACAAGCTTAGGGGGAAACCACCTGATAATTTCACATCCTCTTACTGCCTCAGAGGAGGGTTTCATGTAAATGTGACTCATTTTGGAGTGCACAGGGCTTCTTGGTTTGGCTGTTGTTTACATTTTTACACTCTCAGGACACCCAGCAGGCTCCAGTTTGTGCTGGAGTAAGGGATCTCCAAGGAAGAGAGAGTTTAGGCTTGAAATCATGGCTCAGTTTTCATCATGACCCTCTCTGTGGGCTCCCAGAGGCCAGAAAGTGAAGGGTGGTGGCTTATGACAGGGCTGGGGATCCGACCTGCTTCTGAGACCCTGAATCTGTTCTGTCCAACATTAGCCTTGGGTTCCTGCTTGTCTGAACCCATTTCTTGTAAGTTGAAAGCTCCCAGAGCAGCCTCTGCTCACCTTCTCTTCTCCCTGCCTTGAGCTGGGGAGAGATCTCCCAGTGAGAAGGGTCAGAGTGTTTGCAATTGAACTCCCAATAAGAAACAGCAGTTTCCCTTCACACCTCAGACCCCTAAGGAATCCTTGCTTCTCTCTTTCTTCCCGCCCACAGTCACAACCTTCCTCGCATGTGACTGCTTTGGGAGCCCCCAGCCTCTGCAGGGACTCCTTGGCAACAGTCAAAGATGCAGTGGTGTACAATTGGATTGTCTAGTTACTGTAACTGGCTGGCACTCTGACTGCAGCTACTCCAGGCACAATTGTCAGGCAGGCAAAATTTGCCTTGGGTGCCAACCCACTTCCTCTTTGTACCTTCCATTACTCAAAACTCCCAGCTCCTGTCTCCTTTTCCCAGGGCCTGGCTCTCAGCTTGCTGCCTGATGAGCTGGTTCACAGTATTAGTTAGTAAGGGCATGAGGGGCCTTTTTTTTTCTTTTTGAGATGGAGTCTTGCTCTTGTTGCCCAGGCTGGAGTGCGATGGTGTGATCCTGGCTCACTGCAACCTCTGTCTCCTGGGTTCAAGTGATTCTTCTGCCTCAGCCTCCCAAGTAGCTGGGATTACAGGTGCCCACCACAACACTGAGCTAATTTTTTTTTTTTTTTTTTTTGTATTTTTGGTAGAGGCAGCGTTTCCCCATGTTGACCAGGGAGGTCTTGAACTCCTGACCTCAGGTGATCTGCCCAACTTGGCCTCCCAAAGTGCTGGGATTACAGGCATGAGCCACCACGTTCCCCCATGCGGGACCTTTTCTAAGCATGAGCATTTAAACTATGGGTTACTATTACTCCAAAGGAGCTGCCATCTGGGTCCTGGGGTGTAGACAGAGTTGTGGGGAAGCAGTGGTCTTCAGGAGACTGGGAGGAAGAGTTTGCAGCCCAAGGGTTAGGCTTTCAGGGCTG